AATATCAGGGTTCTCTTCTCTCTCCTCTTCTCTCTCCCCTCCCTCCTTCCCTCCCTCCACCTCCTTTCCCTCTCCCTTACCCTATTCTCAGCTTCTCCTTTTCCCTGTCCCTCTCCCTCTCTCCCCCCCCCACCCCCCCGTCTCTGGGACAGGGTCTCACTATGCAGCCCTATCTGGCCTGGAATTTATAGTGATCCTCCTGCCCCTGTCTCCCAAGTGCTAGGATTATTGATAAGATGTTACCAGGATTACCTATATGGACTGAATTTTACTTACATTTCTCTGAACAAGAATCATCGATGCTACTGCTTTCTACAAAATGCCCTTTTCAAACATTTTAAAAATTATTATTTTTTTTTTCTTTTTGTTTTTTCAAGACAGGGTTTCTCTGTGTAGCCTTAGCTGACCTTGACTCACTTTGTAGACCAGGCTGGCCTTGAACTCACAGAGATACACCTGCCTCTCTGTCCCCGAGTGCTGGGATTGCAGGTGTGTGCCTCTAAGCCTTTTTAAAAAACTGTTTTGCTTGCATGTATATTTACATGTATGTGTGTGTGTGTGTGCGTGCGCACATGCGGATGGAGGCTGGACACTGATGTTAAGGGTCTCCCTTAGTTGCTCTTTAGCTTTTACAATAGGTAGTCATTTTAAATGTTTATTTATTTCTCTTTCCACCCCCTTTACCTTCTTTTTTTGGCGGGGGAGGTCTCTTGCTGTGCTCGGAGCTCGCTGAGTTGGCTGGACTGGCTGGCTAGCACAGCCCAGGACCCTTCCCACCACCATCTCCCCAGGGCTGTGGCTATGAGCATCTGCAGCCGGCTTTTCGTATTTTGGTTCTGGGAGGTCAAGCTCAATCCTCACTCTTCTACAGCCAGCAGCTGACTGAGTCCTCTCCCTGTGGTCACTGCCCTCGCTTTTAAAGAGATTTTGCCATATGCATGTGTATTTATGAGCACCATCGCATTTCCCAAACTCTTTCATTACTCCGATGTATATCATTTAGTAATCCTAAGTATGTGAATATTTATAAATATTGCTGACTCCAATTTTATATTTCATCCTTGGCCTAACACTGTAGGCTATGACCCATGTGTGACATTCAACTTCTTCCCAATACATATGGGAAAGGTTTTCCAACTCCGAGGTGTGTAATATATTTCAACTCCTCTTCCCCAAACTGACCTTGGATTCTCCTCCCAGGAAGACTCTCTTGGGGTCCCAGAGTCCATGATGTGTGTGGGGGTAGGTGCCAGGCAAAGGCCGCAGTGACTCTCAGGTTCCCTGTCAGTGGAAGCCGATTCTGTGGGCTGAGAGCTTGGATTTGGGGAATTTGCTTTGTCTGTGTCAGCCTGACTGTTTTCAAAATGCGCTGACTGACTTTCGTCTTCCCAGTCAGTGCTCCCATCTTGGCATGGGGCTTGCTGAGGGCGAATGCTCAACCTTGGTCCCAGTTCTGTAACCTGCACGATCGTATTTAGGATCGGAAGAAGCGCCTGCCCATCCTGTGGCCACACAGATAAGGGCTTCTTTGAATTTTACTGTACCTGTACCTTGAGCTTGAAATTTAATACTTCATGCTTTCTTCCTTCTTTCTTCTCTCTTTCTCTCTCTCTCCAGGGCAGTCACAAACAGCCATTTCATTGTACAATCTTTGTAATTATCATCGTTGCCATAGCAACCACATTTGCCAGCAGCAAGGGCCCCCAAGCCTCGTTCTGTACCCTCTCCTCATATCACTGCCCGGGTGTGTAACCCTGCTGCCGGTGAGTGCAATGCATGTGTGAGTGGCGTGCTTTTGTCCCTGTGCACAGTTAGCTGGAGAGGCGCACCTTACTCGGAATCCTTTGTAAGTAAACCGTGTTTCCCGGTGTCGGCCGGGGCCCTGTCCACAACCAGAATCCCTCTCAGAGTGGCGGGAAGTGGCTTGGTGCTGCACCGATGTCCTCAGGACCAAGGAGGCAAGCACAGCGTCTGCCCAGAGTCCCTTTTGTAAGGTCCCACTCACTGGATTAAGGTCCACCTGAGTAACTTCATCTAACTAATTACATCTGCACTGATTCTAAGTGAAGTCACAGTCTGAGGGGCTGGGGGCGGCTAGAACTCCAACCTAGACATTCTGAAGAATACAATCCAACCCATGATAACACCAAAAAGGAGTGCTCGGTTTCGGGGGTGAGTGACAGGAAGATGCTGTGTGCCCCTATGCTGGCTACTTCCCACCAGGCCCTCTGCACCCCCCTTTCTTGTTCTGTGTCTGGAAGGCTGACGTACCGGGTGTTTCCTGCCTTCTATTCCTTCTCTCTGACACAGATGACAAGTGGTGGAGGCTGGAGCCGTACAGATGGGAGAGGCAAGACGGAGTAGCTTCTCCGTGTTCCCCAGGTTTTGTTTGTGAAGATTAAGAAATATTTTAAATTAGGTGTTTGTGTGTGTGTGTGTGTGTGTGTGTGTGTGTGTTTGCTCATGTGGGTGCAGTGCCTGCAGAGGCCAGTAGAGGGTGTTGGACCCATGGAAACCAGACGGCAAAAACAGTACTCCTGCTCCTAACCAGCCCCTGCTTCTCTCACTTTTAACATCTGACAGGGAGACACTTAATAATTATAGCAGGAGTGACTGGATAGGTCAGGAGAGTTCACATTCAGCAAGAACAGCTGATACTCAGTGTGTGTGTGTGTGTGTGTGTGTGTGTGTGTGTGTGTGTGTGCATGTCTTGTCTGGTTTTGCTGCTATAATAGAATACCACAGACTGAGTAATTTATAAAGGTTAAAAAATTATTTGTCCCATGGTTCTAGAGGCAGGGCCATCCAGGAGCCTTTAGGCTTGACTTTGTGGAAAGCCTAGGTGTACTGTTAAGCTCTAATCTAGGAAGAGCTGTACTTTAGAGCTTCTTCAACCTCTTTCCCCCCAGGACATTCAGTTTGTGTATCCCCAGTGTCCTCAGCCCACTTAGCGTTTCTGTTTTCCCATCTGTGAATCTTTAGGACAGGTGTCGTAAAACAATTTCTGCCAAGATTAAAATATTCCATCTTGCAATAATGCTCCATAAGCAGGAAGGTAAACAAACAGCTTCAGGAAGTCCCTGAAGCTGACCAGAGTCATTAGGGCCCCTCCCTGCCAGAGTAACAGTGAAAGCCAGGAGTCCTTCTCAGATGCAGTAGAGCAAGGACGCAGAGAAGACTCTAATACCAGACCAGCTGCCTGAAGAAGCAGAAACCGGCCCATCTGCCTGAAAGACTGTGTGCAGTGTGCTTCCGGCCCCCAGCTTTGTGAGCTGTCGCCTGTGCTGGGGCACTGCCTTTGACTCACATCTGGTCCACTAAGTGACCCCAATAAAACTCATCGTTTCACCGAGCTGGACCTTGGTGATACCAGTACTTTGGTCTGCCATGGGCTGCCTATCTGGGGTGAGAGTTGCATCTCTCCTGAAGTTTTGTCACACAGTAGCAGGCTAATATCCATTCTCTCTAGGGTTCCAGCCTGCCGTGTGCTTCTGAGAGCATAGGGTGCGCCTGTGTGCCTGAGATTATGGCTTTCAGGCTTCCTCTGTTTTCTTTGGAAGATGGTTGTCTGTGGCTGGCCCGTGTACACGCTTTATTTCTTTTCTTCCTCTTTCTTCCTGTTTCCTTCTTTCTCTCTACTATTTGTTGGTTGGTCTGTGGGTTTCATGGTGACATGTTCTTATAACATAGCTCTAAACCTTACTTACTCACCCTTCACTGCCCCCCACCCTCCACGAGCTTTGCTTTCTACAGGGTTCCTGTCTGCTGGATCTGACCAGTTTCTGATCCTCCCCAGGACAGGTTCCTCAGCCTCTACTCTCGGGATTCTGCCCTAGTTAACAGCCACGTTTTGTCCTTTTGTCAAAACCCAGAGACTAAAGGAAACTCTCCCTGCTCTTTGGCAAGGATATTGGATCTAACTGCCTCGCTGGGGAGAACACTTGGATCCCTTTTCTTCAGCTCTTCAAGGACAGCTACCACGAATCTATTTCTACTACAGCCTAAAAGGAACATTTATTTAAAACCCTGTGTCCACCTGCCCCACACCCTACGGTGTCAGAACAGACTCAAGGCCCTCGTTTCTGTGGAGAGGACCGCCAGGAGGGACTGTCACGGCAGTGCCTTCTATCTGATATGCCTCAGGAACACCGTGTTCAGTAGAGTCTGCTGCTTGTGCGGTTCCCATGTCTCCACCTCTCCCATAGCTCTGTAAGAGAAATACTAAATGGGGGCCGTCGAGATGACTTCTGCTGCCAAGCCCGGTGACCGGAGTTCAAATCTCCAGGATTCACACAGTGGAAACCAAGACCTGACTCCTAAAAGTTGTCCACATGCCAAACTGGCTCTCTTGAACAGCCCCCTCCCCAATAAATAAAATGAAATAAAGAAGAAACGGTAACTGTTTGGATTAACGAAAAGCAATTTCTCTGGCCCTATCCTCACTGTGTACAGCTCTGTGTTTACAGTGAGCATGTGTCAACTGAAAAATAAAGTATTTAGAGAGTCCAAGCATAATGGTTTCCGATTTTCAGCGTTAGCTTTTGGTGGTTTGAAACTCAAACGCCCTCGAGTTTACTGGCGCGGATTGCACTCTCCAAGGTTAAGACTCTGGGTTGGGCAACACGCACCTCGGGTAACAAGAGGTCTTTTCCCCTGTGTCCTTCCTCCACCTCTCAGAACCGGGAGCGTGGAGACAACTGGCTCTGTCGCTGGCTTCCTCCCGGTCCGGAGGGAGGGACCTGGCTGGGACTGCGATTTCCTCCCGCCACTCCGGAACCCTGGCGGGGAGCCGCTGGCGCTGGGAAACCCGGCTTGAGCCACATCGCGGCGAGCCTGCCGCGCCCGCGGGCCCCG